TTTACCCTTACACACATTATCTTTCTTCTCTCCTTTAAAGAGTATTATCTTTATATACTTGTACATAAAGTACGTTAAATACATTAAYTGCTCACTTAATATAACAGAAAACCTCCCTTGCAGTTAAACTGTTTCACATTTACACTATTTGAACACGACTAAAATAATAAACATGGCTGGCCCATAGCTTGCCACTTTAACCCGTGAACTCGAACTCTTTCATTATTTTATGTGTGTGCCCGCCAATAAGACTGCAGCCGTAGCTGAACTTTAACTGCACATTAACATTAAACATTTTGAGCAATGAACCACACACATACAAATGATTTTCACACATTCATACATACAGGTAATAACCCACAAATGCCCAGGAGCCGAAAGAAACAAATAAAAGTAGACATTTGGCTACGGCGTCGGACGCCATTATCTCCACCCCAATCATCACGTACCATTTACAACGTACACTTCACTTTATTTACAGACTTAATGAGCTTTCCGCTTATGGACCACACATCACCAGGGATTCATTTTAGCTTCTAAACATCTAAAGTCACAGGAAAGGTGAGTAACTAACCTGGAAAAGTAATACAAAAATCAGCGAAGCAGGACACTGTTGCTCCTTCTCCATTCATCAGGATTATGAGCCCCGCCTTCGAGCTGCATTGCCAAGAGTCCCCGGTGACGCTGCTGGTAAGTGCTGCCACCCAGTGTCCATTTCATGCAACAGTCTCTGGTCATATTGTGGAGCAGTAGGTAAATGACTTTACTGCTCTGCTCTGCTCTGCTCTGCTCTGCTCTGCTCTGCTCTGCTCATGCCATCGCTCTCTCTCACTCTCTCTCCCTCTCTCTCCCTCTGTCACTGACTTCACTTCCCTGCTGTCTGCCACTGCTTTCTATAGTTTGATACATGTTTGTTTTTACCAGTTTCCATCCTATTTGTATCCCGTCCCCTGCCAATCTGCAGGGGACACAAATGTAAATTCATCATAAATTTTACTGCAGCTAAGATGTTAGAAGAAGGCAACGGCAACATTTGATGTTAACTTTCCGTATACCAAAAAGCTGCAAAGATATGGTAATAATTATCAATCATTATATCATTCAAATTTATTTATATAGCACGGTATCACAACAAACAATTGTCTCAGGGCGTTTTATTTACGCATGGCTGCAGAATAGAGGGAATTATCTCCTTGAATTTATCAATTTTGTTATCGGACAGTAACCGACTATGGGAGAATTTTTTACTCGCCTGAGTACAGTTGCTAGCTAAATTCAAATGAGAGAAGGAAACTAGAAAATCTCTCCTGCCGATACATTTTGAATGGGTGCCTTTTGGACGCCGCTCCTCCACACAGAGAGACGCATATTATCCAGGTTTACATGAAATCCAATTTCAGACAGACATTTCCTTTAAGACGAACGACAGAGACCCTGAGAGAGAGAGAGACGGTGAGAGCGAAAGACATTTCCAAAAGCTGCTTGATTTTATAATCATGCATGATCCAGGTCGGTGACAGACTTGACCAATTTCAGAGAGACAGAGAGAAACCATGTTGTAAGGTCTTATCACCATCCATGGCATTTAAATTTAAAAATTCAGGCTTCCTGGGAACATCCTGTAACTATTTGTGGATTTCATTTTGAAAATCCAGACTCTTTCGGGCTTCCTGGTAAGGTCTTGTCATCATCCAGGACTTTTATTTTGAAAAACAAGCATCTTTTAGACTTCCTGGGAACATTTTGTAACTATTTGGGCATTTTATTTTGAAAATCCAGCATCTCTTAGTCTTCCTGGGAACATTCTGTAACTATTTGGGGGTTTTATTTAGAAAATTCACTCTTTTTCCCGCACCGAGAGATGTCAGAGTGACATGTGTGCGTAGGAAACAAACTCTTGTTTCACCAGATGTAAAAATCATGTCTGTCGGACTCTGTTTGTGGCTAGGAGAAGTGTTTAAACACAAAAAAGTTGCTGAAAAACTGCCATTTTCAGCCAAAAAATGACTTGACTCCCATGCATTTGGTTTTCGGTATTTTTGCGATTTACGAATGAACCGTTTGATGAATGTCTTGGAAAAGTCATAGCACACCGATCGAGAAAAATGCGCATGGTTTGATGTACTTTGTGTGAATGTGCGTCAAACTTTGTGGGAGGAGTAGCAGAACGAAAGTTTACAGAAGCGGAAGAATAATAAGCCCGAGCAATAATAATATAGGTGCCAATGCATTGCATGGGGCTTCGCCCCCAGCTGGCAAGGCACCCATTATGATCTGATAGTAAATGGTTGGAATCACACACTACTAGATTCTCAACATCAATGCCATGTGTCAGTATAAGGTCTAAGGTGTGGTTTAAGTTATGAGTTGGTTTATCTACGTGCTGACTGAAACCAAATGAATCTATCAGAGAGTTAAATGCACCTCTAAGGCTATCATTTGCTTCATCAACATGAATGTTAAAGTCACCCATGATGATGATTTTATCTGCACTAAGGACTAGTTCTGACAGAAATTCTGCAAATTCATATAGAATGTATCTGATTATATGTTTGTTTGTTTGTTTTTTCATATTATTATCTACAGAGAGCCGAACCAATTATCAAATCAAGACCAAGACCAACAACTCCTGAGATGAGTGACACAGAGGTCCTGCATCAACTATCTTCTGATTATCCTGACAGTCATACTCAGCAATCAACAAGGAGGCATGGATCTGAGGCTTTGCTATTTCAAATCAAGACAGACCAGATGTTAAGTGATGAGTCGAGTACCCCTCTTGTCCTTGCCACCCAAGCATCTCTTGAGGACTTTGAAGTAAACTTTGGACCCAATATATGCTGATCAAGACTTCACCCTTCCCTGCAATCCAGATGACTTGGACCCCTCAGCAGGTATAGGGTAGGTCTAAGTTATAACAGTGCAGCAAAATATTACTGCAATTACTGATTCGACTCCATAAAGATCCCTAGGAGTGAATGGAGGCATGCCTGCTGGACAACCAAATGGAGGAAACCAAGTTAAGGAATCCTTCATTAATCTGAAGAATCCTGCATTTGAAATCAACATTTCTGTTGGCTACTGAATTAAGATAAGTTTAGCCATCCATATATTTCAAGAGCTTTGTCCAAAAATTTAACTGGACTGGGCTTTCAGGGCAGGGAAACAGGAATCATCACAAAAACCCAGACCGATAATTGTGAGATTTCTACAGCTGAAGGATAAGATGGCTGTTCTGAATAAAAGAAAGTATTTGAAGGGATCAGGCATCTACATCAACGAGGATTTCACTGAGGCCATCRGACTGAAGAGGAAAGAACTACTCCCAGCCATGAAGGCAGCAAGGGAGAGAGGTGATATTGCATATCTGAGATATGGCAAACTGATTGTCCTTCCACCATCGCAAAAACAACAAGGACAATCAAGCACCCAGAGTCCGGGCCACTAGTTTTCACCATCTGGTCATTGTCTTCTCAGGGTATTTCAAACACACTCTATGGACAATAACAAATCTGATTTTGTTGCACAAAGTTTTGTGCCTTTTGAATCTGTTGCAGTTGACTCTTATTATTTTGATGTTTATTCTGACACACATTTTTTTTTGATATATCTAAAATGTGAAGCTTTTACAATGAAACTGAATGAAACAACATATGTGATTCTATGTCTTCTGATACATTCTCTACTTTTCATTTGAATATAAGAAGTCTTCCCAGAAATTATGATACATTTATTCATTATTTATCAAAACTTAAACATACATTTTCTGTTATTGCTTTATCAGAAACCTGGCTTACAGAGGACTCAAAGAAAAAATTCAAATTGCCAAATTACAACTCTGTTCATTGTGTTAGACAAAATAGACCTGGGGGTGGTGGATCTCTGTTTATTCACTGTGATTATAGATTCAAAATAAGGCATGATCTTTTTCTGAAGTCAGATACATTTGAAGTGTAGTCTTTGTTTATAGAGCTTGTGGGGATCGTTGGAGCTTAAAACATTATAGTTGGTGTTATTTACCGTCCTCCTGATCAAGTAATTAAAGACTTTAATGAAAGTCTGTCAAATTGTCTTGATCGGATAAATAAAGAGGACAAAAA